GTCTTCAAACTACATGGGCTGAGAAACAAATGCAGTGATCAGGTAGCCAAATCATTAGGCTGATGATCAAGAGACCTGCCTATTTAAAAAAAAAAAAAAAAAAAGAAGAAAAAAAAAAAACAAAACAAAACAAAAAACAAAAACAAAACCACAAAAACAAACCACAAACTAGGTCTGCCACTGTTTTTGCAGGTGACTTTGAGCAAGTCATTTATCCCCAGTTACCCATTTATAGTCAGAATACTACTGCTATTGCTACCCTCCTTAGTGATGCTCATTGGACGTATGGGTGCGAAGCCCTATTGCTCAGTTGGGTATTGTTAACTATTGTCTGCCTGTGCCAATTCACTAACAGAAAAAATTGTGAAAGTGTGTAAAATCCTAAAAATTGCTATTGTAAATCCTTGTGTGAAATGAAAAATTAAGGCATGATACTGCATTCACTGTTAACTGCTGCTGCTGGATCTGGGCACTCCAGATCAGCTGGCAGGACAGACAGGATGGAGTCAGTTCATTTGGCATGAAGTCTGCCACAACAGTTGGATGACCCTTTTACATGTTTTTATGAAATTGTAGCCAGCAGAGTGAGTTGGTATGGGTTCAGCACTTTACATGATCTAGCCATGACAGATTTGATCATGATTTGAGGAACTGCCCTAAAGTTAAGTTTACTATCTTGTGAAACCTCATCCGTCAATGAAATCAGGCATCTCAGCTCTGACAGAAACCTCAGCCAAGGGGATGTCATTTTCACATCATTTCCTCTGAATGACCAGTGCTAATTGTTGCTGTTTACTTTACACTTGCGTTTCACATATTTGCCATTCATTGAAAAGTGCTGCCCAGCACAGAGACATTTTGATACCAATGGAGACAATCTCCATTGACAAAGGATCTCCAACAGGCAAGGACAGGACAGTGTTCTTCAGTTGCCAATGCTCGCACAAGCTAGCATGTTGGCAGATCGACCAACTGTATTCCTGCAGTAACTCCTCTGAGTATGTCAGCACTTCAGTCAACAATGCAGTTTTGCTCTTAAAATATGCAGCCAGTGCACACGCATTTGTGTTTTCAAAGTAGCATATGTTATGTTCACTTTCAGAAGAGGTTACAATTATCCTTTCTTCAAAAAGTAAACTTGTGGCATTTTTCATAGGTTTGCTACTTTTCACAAACTGCTGCTCCTGCATAAAAGGGCAGTGTGAGGGAACAGGACTGAGATAAAACCTTTCCCCCACTCAAACTGGGAATGTCTTTCCAACTTCTTTCTAATCTCACATGCTCAGATAAGTACACACGTAGCTACTTTCAAACAGAAAAGATATGTTACTGCAAAGCTATACAAGAGTATTATAAGGCTATGTTTTCAAAGTTAAACAACCTTGATCCTTCAGTCCCAGCACTGGGAAAAAAAAACACCCCACCCTATTAAACTGAGTGAATGAAATTCATCCCAGTGCCATATGCCCACAAAAATAGCTGAACCACATATGTCTTACGTAGGCTCCTCTTTGAAAGCAGAGACGTGCTGTCTTACAGATGGTTCTCTCTCTTGCTCTCACCCAAGGAGAGCTTTTCCAGAATGTGGAAGGAGTGAAGGCAGTTTTGTGGAATAAATACTGCAATGGATGTTAGCTAATTTCTTTAGCCCTGATGCTGCTACAAAACAATACTTATATCCTGATCCGATCCAGAATTGCTTTTACAGATGCTGCTCGTCCAGAACTAGTTTTATGGATGTAACCTAGGTAAGTTACAGTGGAGATTAACTTAAACAGCAATTTCAGCTGTGACAGGTAAAGAGAGGGGCTCATGCTCCAGTCTCCCCAGTGCACTCAGCTTTGCTTCTGCTTCCCCCTCCAAGCCCCGACACCAGTGCAGCAGGAGGGTGAGCAGCCACCCCTCCGACACACGCACTTGCTTTCATCGGTGCTCTGCCCTCAGTGCAGAAAGAGTAATGCCTCCCAGGAAATAGCTCTCTTCAGCTTCTCAGAGGCAAGATTGGTTCTTCTGCTGACAGTGAAGCTTCAAACCTCTGTTACCTTGTTTGTTCACCCATTGTAGCTTTCATAAACCATGTGTGTTGCCACTTCTCTTCATTGTATTTTTTTCATTCTTTGAAAAAATAAACTTTTCCCCCCACTAAACCAGAAAAAAAAGTCTTTTATTAACAACATATAAGAACAAAGATATTTTCTTTGGAACCAGATGACTTCTCAAAAATAACGCAGCATCAAATACTGGCTAGCCAAGCAGGCAGGAGACACCCTGACTGCACTGTCTGCATCATGACTGCCCCACGTTTCCGTGCCATGCTGATGTGAGCGCTGTTCTCCTTCAAACCCACAGAAACTGCTTACTGAGACTTTTCTCCTGGGCAAATCCCTGAAGCTGACCTTGGGCCCAGGAGTCCAGGACCATTGTCTCCTATTTCCTACCCTGACAGAAGTTAAGATGTACCAAGAAGTACATTGGCGATTTTCCTTACTTTACAGATCAGGCATGGAAGAACCTTTAGTTCCAGTAAGAGCTAAGGTAGTTTTCAGACACAGATGGGGGCTGCTTCAAGAGAACTTGGTCCCCACACTGAACTCCCAGCGGCTGGTTCCTGCTGGAGCCCCACACAACAGAGCAGTGGTGCCCACCCCACTGAAGCTGGTGGAGGTACTGCTGGGAGCAGTCCCACGTAGGGCACTGAGCCACTGACCTCTGCCCACAGCTGGACATAGGGCACATTCAGAAGGAGATAGAGGTGGTGTCTATGACACTTCATATCAACAGTGACCAGTACCATGTCCCACCCATGCCGCCAATAACTGCTGTGGCACAGCCTGTGGAGCCTGTGGGCTTACTTTAATTGCTGGAAGATGGGAACAACCTTGGGCTCGCAACTCTCTCTTCAGGGTCTTCTACCAGAACGTGTCCTCCCCCAGAATGTGTCCTCCTCATCCAAGTTTTCACAGGGAGGGTGTTGTATCCTCCTGTGACAGCGACTGGCATGCTGGGCACCCTTCCCTTAGACAGCAGATTTTGTCACCTCAGGGTAATGATCTGGCTAGGTCAATGGAGACACACTGGCCAAATATGGAGGGAAGGTCCAAAAAGAACCAACAGATGAAGGACTTCTTGGTTGCTGAACTGGTGTTCCTAAGATACTCCACATAAGGCACTGAAGTACCACAACACAGAAGATTTTGTTTGCTTCTTCCTGACCTACGCATCCAATAAAGAGTGACAGGGAATCTGGTCACCATCTTTCACAGGAAAATAATTGACAACTAGGAAGTGAGTTCCTCAAAGTGATTTTGAAAGCCTCAACCAAACTGTCTAAGATGATTTCTTTCTGAAAACTGACTGTTAGTGTGGAACAAGCTAAGGCATTGCAAAACCTTGCAAGTCCCCCTGATGTCAGTGGGAGTTCTGCACTTAGCACTGGAGCCGGGATTTCACTGTTTGTGAAATGGATTTAAAATAATAAAAATTTTTAAAAAATAATTAATTAACCAATCATTTAGAAAATCATAGTAATGCAATAGTTATAACCACCCTGATGGTGGAAGAAAGAACATTTATGTAATTCTCTGACTAATTTCCCCCTGCACATGCAAATAAAAATCAATGAAAGGCTACTACAATAGTAACAAATAGCTAACCAATGAATGTCAAAGGCTGTAATCTTATCACATTAGTTTTGGAAACCTCTTACATAACTTGCATAATTTAAATATTTACAAAATATAAACTTTCTTGTCTTATCAAAAATAGGTCTTTGCACATTTAAACAACAGAAATCCTTTCACATGATGCTTTTTTAAGCCAGACATTAAATCATTGCATAAAAATAAACAACCTTTCACAGACGTAAAGTAAAATTGAGCCAACATATGGAGGGGGAGAAAATGTTATCAATAACAGTTTAAATATTTTAGTGGTGTGAGACAATCCATAAAATACATTGTGTATTGAACTTGCTTGGGATGCAGTCTAATGAAAAGTTCTAGCTGCTGCTTCTATGAGAGAACGCAATGTTTTGAAAAATCTTTTGCTTTATGGCAGATTTCTTTGGGCTGAATCTCAGATGGTTAATTGTGAAAATGATGGTGAACCACTAGTGAGATGGTTGAACATGGCAGGTTATTGCATACAGTCCAACAATGGGGTGACAACTGGATGACTTGCAAATTGTGTGTTCAGATACTGAGGAAATGCCTGAAAAGGACTGTATTTCCTTCAAATACCAAACTGTATTTCTGTCCCTCCTCAGACCTGTCCTTTGTGCATTTGAAAGACAGTCCATAAAAAATACCAAGGTTGCTACTTGGTACACTGTTCGTGTTCACCAAGCTGCGCTCCAGCCCCTGGACTCTGGCCCCAGTCTGCTCCACACCAATGGACCCTGCTCTCCTCTTCTGCCAGGCAGTGCCCAGCTCTCTGCAGTCAAGCATGTTTCTCAGTACCAGACGCTTTTCTGCATATTATGCAGAAGCTTTCCGAACAGTTGCAAAGCAAATACTTCACGGTCAACAGCAGAACATTTCCCCATCTTTGGTTTTTTTCTAAAGCCTGCAGACATGAAGCATCTAGTGGATCCATCTAGTCATAGTTCTAAAAATACGGACAGAAGGATTATATCTAACATGTCTTACACATCCTCTTAACTCTTCAGTCTCTGGCTAATGAGATCTTGAGTTTTCTCCACTGTACCAACTGACCACATGGATCTTCAGGATGTTGTGGCTATTAAAGACTTGGAAAGTTTAGTATCTGTCCCTGCTCATGGAGTTACACCTTCAAATGTGTCATCAGGAGTCCTTTTTTGTTGTTTTACCTGTCCCTACATGCAGGCTGCTGTTCACTCGGTTGCTCTTTCACATGCCAAATGCCTGGACTACCCTTTTTTTGGCAATACCCATTCCCCCTGAGGCTGATCCCCCTGCAATCCCTGTGTGGCAGTTGTGTGTACCAAACAGTGCAGGATGGTTTGGCCGTGTTTTCTGTACTTATTTGCAGGTGTGTACATCAGTCATGGTCTCGCACCTCCGGCAGCGCACGTAGCAGCACCAGACAAACTTGCATTCACACCTTTCCACGTGCCTGACAACATGGGTGTTGTACCCGCGCCCACAGCATAGGAGGTTGCAGCCATCGGGTCCATCTGAGGTGCGGTTACATTCCCTTCCCTGAGTCCCAGGAATCCCCAATTTTTGGTCTTCGACACAGTAATTGGGTGATTTGTTCACGTACAGCAGGTCTTCTTTCCCGATTGGTATTTTTCGCTGGCTTTTATCTTTCCTGCGTAGCTTTTTTTTCGGTCTGTCTGATATTTGTATGCTGTTTTCATACTTATTCTTTAAAAACTGACCAATCTTTTCAAAGGACGACATTGTTTTCCAACAAGTTTTCACAGCACAGGACCCAGAAACACCATGACAACGACAATCCACGGACATCAGCTTTGCTACAGCCTGAAAGCAAAGGGAGAATGACATTTGGATGTGGTCTTTCATTCATTGGGAATACTGCGTGACATCAGTTATCACAGAGGTCTCAAAGTATTTAATATTACATCTGCCTTTGCCATTTCAGTGATGGGGGAGCCCGAGCACAGGAGGATACCTGTTAGGAATGAGGTTTCCAACTCTGGACCCCCACAATGAGAAGCCTGATCTTCAGAAGTGAGCTGTATTTGTGTTTTGCAATGGCGATAGTGTAGCAATATCGAATCACAATAACAAAAGTTTGTATTTCTGGCTGGCTTTTCATTCTGGAGGATCCTAAATACCTGAAATGACACATCCTGTGTCACTCCTCCCACTGCTGGAATGCAAATGGCCCTCATGGGGAGGAGCAGGTGAGGAAGCAGGGATAGGGCAGCTAATGGCACCATTCCTACATTGGACAACATTTACTGGGCAGGTCTATGCCATCTTTGAAGGGTGCCTTGTGGCTACTGTGAAGACAACTAAGCATTCACCACACAGTCTGTAACTAAGGCCACGGGGATGATGTGAGGTCACACAACAGTGTGTGTGCGACCCGCGTGGCTCAGCATCCACAGCAGCGCAGCGCAGCTCACAGGCACCTCGGGGCAGACCTCGGTTGGAAGAGCAGGAGGATGCCCACATCTCTGAGCTCCATGGAAAGTCTGTCAAAGGAGCGACTACAGCTCAGCAGAGGTATCTTCAACTCAGGTATTCTGGAGTAAATCTCAGGTGCTTCTCACAAGATCAAGCCCTGTTCTTGTAATTTAGGCATGCTAGTACTATCATGGGTTTCTTGCATTTCCAGCTGCATAATGGCTCTATTTAACACAATCTGATAGTTGTATTCATATTACTTTTATAACTTTCAATGTTTTAGCAAAATTTCCACTGTTATTATCAACATTAAAATACCTTTAGATGGGCTACTTTTCCATACCCATGCAGAAGCAAGCCCTGGGCTGAACAATAACTGTCTGACCGACAATGGGAACCTGCAGCCTGTGTTAAGCTTTTGCAACACACAAGAATTTTGGCTCAGTTTATAGGAGACCAAGCCTCAAAGAACTGGAACCAGTAAACAAGCAGTAATGTTTTTTTATCTGGGACTACAACTCAAAATAGTCAGCAGACAATCAACATAATGCTTCCGGAATATCTGGTAGTCATAATTTAAAGTTATACAATTAGACTTTTGACACATCCCACATTAGCATTTGGAAAAGTGCACAGAAAAATTGTCACAGGCACAGATACAGCAAAAGGACAAGGTACTGTAATTCCTGTTTTCTTTTGTTTTATCTTTCCAGTAATGTGCTCTCTGGAGCAATCCTGTAGATTCACACAGGCCATTGGTCAATGATGTGAAAAGACCATGTTACCATCTTCCATTTTGCTAACCATTCCCCCCATATTTGATTTCCACAATCAAGGCAATTGTAAGAGAAAGCAAGAATTTTAAATTAACTCATAGTCAGTTTCTCTTGAAACTTCTAATGAAGCAAGACCAATATAGATTCCAATTATTCCTCTGTGGAGAAGTCACTATTTCCCACAAAATGGGGATGATACCTCTTCCCCCAACTTAATGTTTATTACATTTTACCCTAAACCTTCACTTACCCCACAGCTCCCACAAATATTAACCACTGTCAACTTATTATGTCTTTTTCAAACTGTCTTTTGGAATAAAAAAACAGAAAACAAATCTATCTAACAAATTCCTCTGGTTTCCCCTGAGAAAGTAACATACATTTGTGCATGTTCCCAAGCCTTGATTCTGCAGTGAGATCAGAGCCCTGAAATCTTACCAAGCCCCACTGACCCTATGCAGGACCGTAAATAAACTCAAGTCCCAGGCTGCTTATTTGTAGCTCAGGCAGCACAAATGCCATCCGCAGAGTTTCAGAGCTAGTCAAGGCACGAAGCAGATAAAATGAGCTGTTTCTACCCTGTGTGTTAAACTGGGACTCTTCGTCATGGTGAATGCAGTCACTGAAGTTTGGGATGAGTTCACCATGGTTAGATCCATTTATTTCAGTGGGAATTGAGGTCCCCAGCACATTTTGCCCCAAAGGTATTGACACAAGCCTGAGCTGGTATTTGCATGTAATTCTACAAACATCATTAAAAATATGCATGACCAGAATCTTTGCTTGGAGTCACATCTTTGGTGAATGAACAGGACCTATTTGGAGGTTACTACAGAAACTAAGCAAGCAAAGAATTCAAAGAACCATCAGCAAGAAAGAGCAGGTGTATGCCCTGACCTAGAACAGCCACTAGCCTCTGCAAACTAAATCTGGTGAAGTGATGCACCAGTACAGGAGATACTTCCAGGTGCTGTGGATTGCTTTTGGGATTGGAGATTTTTCCCTATCCTGGAAGAAATAATAAGAAACATTGCAACAAGCAGACCCTCACCCCAGAGCACACAGAGACTCTTTCAGTGGCAAATCAACTTCCAGAAATTCTTATAGATACTTATCTTCTCTCCTTCACAGGCTAGTTTCTGTTTAATAGACAGACTTGACCTTGTGCTCTTATCTTAAGAACCTGTCAATAAGGAAGTCACTGGGCAGTCAGAATATGCATCAAGACATAATAGTCATTAAGGCAGATGAGAATTTGAGATCCAAGGACAGAAACTCTTTGCTGGAATACAGATAACCTAATAAAATGTCTAGGAAAAGAAAAACACAATATCAAAAAATAAATTTTACACACAGTTTACAAAGAGAAGGGATTTAATAGTATTTTACAATTTCTAATGATTAGTTATTTGTATCAAGGCAAGTAACCAGAATCTCAAAGTAGTTTGAAATCACATTGTGCTATAAGGTTTATAAGGTTACAGATATAATACTTGCTTTCACTGCAATATGACAAGGTACTAACCAGGGAAGAAACAACAGGGGGAAAATACACAACCTGGCTTGGGGAGAGAAGTGTACTTCCAGGTCTGCTAGAATCAGGCATAGTAAAATCTGGACAAGGCAGAAGGATCCAGAAATTGTCAGGGGAAGCACTAGACATGTCTGCTAGGTGCTAAGGGTGAGTTACTTCCATGCGGGCAAGTAGCCCAGCAGATGACACTCAGAGTCTTTCTCTGAGGATAAATTAGTGAAAACTAAAGGGAGACAGAGTTTCTAAAAAGGACTTCAACTGATGTTGAAGTCTCAGGTTGAGACAGACATGCAGCACATATAAGCAGTGTATGGACAACCAGATGAATGCAAGAACTACAAATGTGATGGTGTGCGGAAGCACCGAGAACATCCATAGCAGTTACAAACATTTGTGGCTTTATTCTGTGTTGCTCAGGATTCTGAGATGAAGCTTTGATGCACTCGCGTTTAGAATGATTTGTGGTGTCATCACAATTGTGCATGACCCCGGGCTATTGCTTCCCAGCTGCTAGGATGAGTAAGTTTTCTGGCTGAACTCCAACATATTTTGGGTTGCCTCTACTGCCAGCACAGGGAGCTGACATCTTGCTTTGGCTGATCACAAACCATGCTGCTGGATCTCAGGCTGCCATGTGAATTTTAATGAACAAACACCCATAGCTGAACCTCTGTCAAAATTTAGGGACTAGGAATCTTCTCTTGCTGTCTTCTTGCAAGCAAACCTCAGATGGTGCCTGTCGAGCCAACACAGCCTTGTGGTGGGACATGGCTGCAACACACACCTGTGTCTGAGCAGCGCACAGAGATACTGGGAGCAAGACTTCCAGACTGACTCCACAACCAGTGCTCAGTTTCCCACCTTTAGATTCACATACTGAATCTTTTCAGTTATTCATGACATTGTGAGAGGATTCTCACAAAGGAAAAAAATTTCATAGAGAACTTCAGAGGAGTGCTGTTACTCACAGAAACACGGTGAATAGATGTGTCCTTCTGTGCAAGCTGGGACAGTTTTTCAGTTTTCTTAGGCTGGTCATGAAACCGACTCACTGCTTGTGAGAAATGATCAGTGTGGAACTGAGCTGTTCAGCCACCTGAGCAGTTGCTCTTGCCCCTATTGCCACTCGCTGTCCTCAGCCCTGGTGTGGGCTGAGCAACAAGAGTGCAGGGTTAAGTGATGAGCTGAATACAGTACTGAACACTGCTCTGTGTTAAAAATTAACCTGAAAAAAAGGTAATTTTTAAACTTACTTCCTTTTACTGATCCAATGCAATTAACAGAGGGATCAGCGTGGGGTGGGAATGTGTGGCTGGAATAGGTGGATGGGCAGAAAGCAGAGATTGGTCCACAGCAACGCACAGTTGCAGTGGAATCACAGTTTGTATACCCCTTAAGGCCAACTAATGCTCCATATCTCCAAGCTAAGCACTCTGTTTGCAGGCACTGTTCTCAGCTGTGAAACAGGGGCTGCCAGTACTTGTTTTGCAGTGGGAACTGATGCCTGCATTCAAACAGCTTAATTTAAGGCACTGCCAGAACTAATAGGAGTATTCATGAAGACAAGCATATGTCCTACAGGAGGTACAGCACTAAGAACAGTTGCAGGCTGTTGGTGGGACTGTTACCAACCCACAAGTACCAGTAAAAATAAACTCTCTAATGAGCAAAGATATTTCAATGTGAGAACACAAGTCCTGCAGATCAAATAAATTTCCACAAGTGGAAAACTGAGCTTAACTCCCCTCATCCTTTTATATAAGGAGCAGAGGTGCCCAACTCACAAACACACATCTAAGTACACTGAACATCACAATGCTGAGAGATTATGAACATTTCTCTTGTGTCAGAATAAGGAATGAAATCTGGAGGTTCAGGTTAGTAGCCTAAAAAGTGGACTCAGTTGACTCAGTCAAAGGATCCTCACTGTTTTAAAATTTATGTATCTTGGATTTAACTATGAGATGTAGAAATGTAAAATAATGTTTTGTACAGAAATGGGAAAGGAACAAGAGAATTCTGCACATACCAGTTCCATTAGTAACTCCAAACAAACACTGAAGTGTTGTCCCTGGAAG